TTCCCTTGTACGGAAAGCTGGTCGACATTGTCCGTACGGTCGATAGCTCTGTGCTGGAGAAGAGAGGGAAGAACCTCGACGATCTCCCCATCCGCCACCAGCTCGAACGCCACGGTGCAATTCGGCTGGGAACAATCCAAGAGATGCGCCAGATCAGCCGCCTCTTTGCCATAATGGGAATGCATCCAGTGGGCTACTACAACCTCGAGATGGTCGGGTTCCCGTTGCACGGCACTGCCTTTCGACCCACGAGTGAGGAGTCGCTGCGACGAAACCCCTTCCGAGTGTTCACCACTGTTCTGCGCCCAGATCTTATCGTCTCTCCAACAGTGAGAGAGACTGCATCTGAGATCCTTGCTCGACGAGAGCTTTTCTCGCCTCGCCTGCGCGAGCTCATGAACCAGGCCGAGCAAGATGTAACAAGATTGACTCAAAAGGATGCAGACGAGCTGATTGTCGAGGCTCTCAAGGTCTTCAAGTGGCATTCGCGGTCGACCGTCCCCCTCGAAACCTATCTCAGCCTCAAGCAGGAACACCCAATGGTTGCTGACATTGTCTGCTTCCCAAGCGCCCACATCAACCATCTCACACCCCGAACTTTGGACATTGACGCTGTTCAACTGGAAATGATTCGCCAAGGTCTTCCGGCAAAAGAGTGCATCGAAGGACCTCCAGCTGGTCGAAAATGTGAGATCTTGCTGCGTCAAACCAGCTTCAAAGCTCTCGAGGAGCAAGTCGTGTTCTGCGGCTCGGGCGTGAGTGGCACGCATACGGCCCGGTTCGGCGAAGTCGAGCAGCGAGGTGCTGCAGTTACACGCAAGGGCCGAGACCTATATGACAAGCTGTTGGCTGCTGCTGTTGATCTTGGGAATGGGTGGGACCAGTCGCTCGCACAGGCCTTTCAGGATTACCCTGACGACTGGACAGAGCTGCGCAAGCAAGGACTGGTCTACTTCCGCTACCGGGTATCAGCAGATGCCACATCGCGCAACAAGGAGCCTCTCCCAACCGATATGGGGGCTTTGTTGCAAGCAGGCGTCGTCGAGTGTGAACCCATCACATACGAAGACTTCCTGCCTTTCTCTGCCGCAGGCATTTTCGCGTCCAACTTGGCAGACACGAACGGGACAGCAGATAGGAAACTCCAGGCGACGAGGTGCAGTAGTCGAGTCGAGCTGGAGGGTGTGCTGGGCCGAGAGATTCTCAGCGAAATTGATGTGTATGAGGCCTTGCAGAGAGCTAGTGTGGATGAAGTTGCGAATGGCCTTGGGCTTGAAGAAATCACTCTTGCGGGGCAGTAAGGTAGCATAGGTATCCTGCTTATGCCTCATGTATCTAGGGCCGAAAGGTCGAAATCTGACGGTAATGATTCAAGCTGAGAAAAGAATGGCACAAATGGCCAATACGCGCTTCCTGTTGGGTCGGATGCAGTCCATGCCTCGCTACTGAGGTTCTGGGGCAGGTTGTTGCCGATGTCCGCCCCCGTAGCTTCCCATGCAACCGAACTTGTCGCGGGAGTGTCTAAGACGCCCATCAAGGTCTGATTGTCTGTTCCAGCAGCGGAGTAGTCCATTCCCAAGGATACTGCATCCCTTACAGATGGGGTTGGCTGTCCGATGTTCTGGGACGCTGGGTCCGGAACTTGATTCTGTTGAGGGTTAGCAGACCCAGGTAATGATCCATACTGCCTACTCAGATTGTCGTCAGAAAGCAAGCGTTTTGCACTATCCTTCAAAAGGTGGTATGACTTGTTGGCGATGCTGCTGACCCCAGTATAGCGTAATATGCAGTCAAGACAAAGCCTCCAGCTTGCAGCTAATGATTCAGCCCGGACAGTAGAGCCGCCAAAGGAACACAACTGGCCCATCAAAAGTGTGCTGCCGGCTGTATGTAGGTCTTTGTGAACAGGAGAGAGTAGTTAGTCTCAAGGACGGTATAATTGTGAGTAGCACTTTGACAGGTGGAAGTTGACTTACACCCAATATTGTACCACCATGCCGTCAAACTGTGTGAGTGAATGTGACTGTCCAGGGAGCGGACCAGGCTGTCGGCCGATACAACACATTGGGCAGCGATTTCGGACTGCATCAGGTCTTGCACAACAGCGACCTTGATCCTGGATGGCTTCGGCAGGTGCAAAGATTGCTGGCAGCGGCGCTGCTTGCCAAAAAGTTGCTCCAACGCTGGCCGTAGTATGAGAACGCGGACATGATGGAATCTAAGCGTCATTATTAATATCAGGACGGCAACCCAGGATCAAAAAGGGGGTCAGCATCGGATTCATACCTTGCATGCAGCCGTTTCGCTTGGGCGGAAAAGTCTGTTGGAGGGATCTCGTTCGCCGGCGTAAGGTCTCCAGCACCGTCTCGACGGCGGTCGTTTTCTGGAGAAGGGTCATAGCGCAGGTATTCAGGAAGCGAATCCAGCCATTCCATAATCAGGGTGTCGAGATCGAGCATGGACTGCGTGTTTGCAGCCACATTTTCTGGCGCACTGCCCAAATCCGCTGGGGTTACTTTGGAAAATGCCGGCCCGTCCCTCCACTCTTCCCTGTCCAGGACCTGCCCTAGAATGTCGTAGAGCTTGATTGTCTGGATGTATGACTCCAACATGCTGTGTTGACCTGGCGGCTGACTACCCCACTCGGCGCCAGGTTTGTCAGAAAGGTACTCGTCATCAATAGCATGAGGCAGTCCGAGTCTGTCACTGCTGGAGTTGGTGATCATCAACGGCCGCCCAAAGGACATTGAAATCTCGCGGTCTAGCAGAACGCAGCCATACCAGACCCTTAGACGCATTTCGCACTCGAGTTGTGTGGGCTGGCTCGTCAGCAACCCTCTGGTTTTGGCTTCCTGTACACTGAGTTGCAGGCCCATGTTTTGTGCCATGCGGATTGCTAGACCAGTGATGTTCCAGCATTTGCTGAACTTTTCGGTGCTTTGCAGGTAAAAGCCCATCAGCAGAAGCAACTGGACCAGTTCTATCCCAACTTCATCGTCGATTATATCCAAAAGATCAAGCTTTTGCGTCTGGTTGAAGTAAGCGGTGGCGCGCGCCGAGTTCTGCTCGGGGCTGTGAGGCCCAAACAGTGAAGCCATTGCAAACACGGCATTTACCAGCGCCGGGAACGCCTTGTGTGAATTCTTCTTTCTGCAGAGCCCCGAGCAGTTGGCTGGGTTGTGGTCGGCTGGATCCCACAGTCGCTGATACTGCCTCATGAATGTTGGCTGATGAAGGATGGGATACATGCGGTGCACGCGAGTGAAGTACACGCGCACCAACTCATCAGCTTGTCGCCGGAGTGGGAGAGACCACTGGCCATTAGCGAGCAACGCATCACACGAACAAAAAGGAGTTGCCGTTCCGGTAGTCGTTCCATACCGGTACGCAGGTGCCATGTTGTTGGTGAGGGCTTGGTCAATGGGCCGCATCAGCCGCTCGACACCGGCCGGTTCCAAATGCCCTTTTCTTGAAAGCACAGCTGGAGATGCCACCGTCGCGTGCTGAGACAAGGGGGCCTCGATTGAAGGTGCCCGCTGTTGTTCGTCATCGAGTGGCGTTGGCTCAGACAATGTCGGAGCAGGAGCTGAAGCAGAAGCTGGAGCAGGAGCAGGAGCCGGAGCCGGAGCCGGAGCAGACTGTCTTACAGGAGGTTGCGCTACAACCTCGGCCTCTGTAACGGTGTCGCCCCCTGAGGCATCTCCATTTCCATTAGCAGCAACCGAAGCCTGTGCCTGCTGCTCTTCCCGTTCCAGCTCTCTCAACCGATCGCGCCAGGACCGAATCATACTGGACAAATCCGTTAGCTGGGTCCCGTCCATGTCCCGATCCTAGGTACATCACTCGGGAGAAGCCGCAACTTACTTGTCTTGCCACGCCTTCTCCTGTACTTCGGCCTGATAGACACAAGTAGACATACGCTTGGTACAGCCACCGCAAATGGGGACGGCACCGTCACAACGTCTCTTGCGAGTCCTGCACTCTTCACAAGCCAAGGGGGCCCGTTTGCGTGTCTGTTGCTTCTTGGGCGCAGGGCCGCCTCCGCCTCCACCTCCTTGGGACCCTTCGGCCTCAGCCTGCCGGCCGCGTTTCGATACCGATCCGGTCATGGCGTTGAGGTTGCAGAAGACAGACGACAAGAAAAGAAATGCGGAGGAAAGGCGGAGGCACCGGGGGGACCTGGGAACGGAGTGTGCATCCAGGTCCGCGCAACCTCCTCCAAAGTCCATTTTAGGTAATTTTCCGTGCCACCTTTAGCCACCGCACGGACAAAAAGTGACCTTTTGGAAATCCCTTCTACGAAACTCAGCGCCCCCAATACCCGGCTTTTTGCTCTATTCCGCTAAATATCGGAATAAAATAAACGGAAATAAAGGTTGGGAATTTAAATGGGAATTCTATCTTTTAAATTGAGTGTGGTAGGTTCAGGAATGGAAGTGTTGAAGGACATTGTTGTTGTGGCACAGCAAATTGCCTAAAATGGACTTTGGAGGGCGTTGCGCGGACCTGGATACCGCCCTCCCCTGGGAAAGGGGGCATGCCGCGCTATGTAAACCTGGGGAAATGCGGGGACGGGACTTGTCAAGTGCAGTGGAGTTTGGGTCGCTTGGACCGTGCATTACTTGAGCTTGAGGTGCACATATGTGTATGTCGGGTAGTAGGGGGTCGGGGGGTTATTACCGGCGGGGAGGTCGTTGTTGCCGTTTTACCAGTGGTGACGGATTCGTGCTTTCCTACAAGGAATCCGTTCCTTCAGGTACTAAAACTCTCCGAATAGAAAGAACGACAGGAAAGAGGTCACAACAACAAAAAATGGACGGAGCACTTGGGAGAGGCCCGCACCTTCAGCTTTCTATCAACTTGCATGCTGACAGGAGCGTAAAGATGTCGGTGCCACTATTCACAAAAAATAAAAATCATGTCGGCGGACATTGTCAGCAGCCACGTTTCCAAAAGCCAATTTCCGGCAAAAAGCGACAAAAAAGAAAAAATTCAGAAGATGACCCCAACCCGATTTGAACGGATAACCTTTCGATCTGGAGTCGAACGCGCTACCGTTGCGCCATAGGGCCAATTGATGTCTGAATGGACTTTTTCTTCTCCCTAAGAAAGAAGCAGTAAGCGCCCGACACACCGCTCACTTTGCGATGCCGTTGTTGTTTGTGGTGCGGTGCAGACATACATCGCCAGTCAATGAGCTAGACAAGTTGTATCTCGGTTCTGTGAACGTGTTACGGTAAATGTGATCACGCCAACAAGACCGTGGTAAAATGAAGCAAGGAGAACAGGTTGAGTGTTGCTCAATTGGAGCGTGTGTTCTATTGCGGGAGGTCCATCATGCCCCCTTTTATTGTTCTTCATACATAGCATGCCTCATAAGTTTCGTAACGCTCGATGCAGTCGTAAGTCGTGACAAGGAAAAAAAAGAAAGAAAGAAAGAAAGAAAGGTAGTTAATCAATACAGCAAATCAAAGAGAAGAAGAAAACACTCACTAACCATTCCCACCCCCCGATCAAGTCCTTTCTAGCTTCTCACCTCCCTAATGTCCCCATCCCCTTCATACTCCCCCACCGAGTGTTTACTCCCCACATGATCCACCAGACTTTCTTCTTTCTTACACACCGTATCCCTCTCCCTGTGTCTCGAACACAGATAACAAGCATACCCGCCACCTTCCCGATGGCACTTTACGAAAAACCTTGTCGTTAACAAGAAACTTCGGTACTCTACTTCCTCTTCTTCCTTTCCCGTTCGCGGATTGGGGTGGTGAGTGACGACTTCCTTGTCCACGCGCCAGGGGCCGCGGCGGGTCACTTCGTCGGGGTCGAAGAGGTGTGAGTGACAGTCGGGACAGACTCCACTGGAGGCCAGACTGGAATCGAGTGGTTGCCCGGATTGTTGCAGATAGGTCGCGTATTGACAATAAATGGAGGAGTGGTAAGTCAACTGCTTGGGAATTCCACTTGTCCTTGAGATTGATGAGTGACGGGTAGGAGAACGAGAGTGGTGCGAGCGGGTAGCGGAGACGGAACCTGGACCCCGGTTACGCGCACGGTCGCGAAGGACGGTCGTGGTCGTGGGTGCTAGTGGGTAGATGTCGTGGTAGGTGTCGTCGTGCTTGTCGTAGGAGGTTGTGTGGGTGTCGTAGTAATCGCGCAGCGAAGGGGTGGAGGAGATGCGTCGAACCGGCGCAACGGGACGCGGGCGGGAGGCAGCTCGGCCACCGTATCCCGGTCCGGGTCCGGGAGCGGGCAGAGCTCGCTGGTCTATGGGAGCTTGTTGAAGCATGCGCTGGTATTGGTCACGGAGAGCGCGCATGCTCCCTTCTCGAGCGAACTCAGAGGCATTATAGAGCTTGCGGATATCGGGTGGCTCGCCGGTGTAGAGAGCTTCTTCGAGCATTTTGATGACGGTGCCTTGAAGGGTGATAATTTGGCCTTGGAGCTGGGTTTGGGCGAGTACTGCTTCTTGTTAGTCATGGTTGTCTGTTTCTAGAAAGTAGCAATGGTGAGACAGAAACTTACAGTCACCCTGAGCAAACTGAGGCCCCATCCTCGAGTAGAGCTGGTCGTACTGTCCTTGAACCAACGGACCGCCACGCTGGAGAGAATCTCTCAGGTCCTCCTCGTCTTCTCCCCTCCGACTCTTGCTTTTCTTCTCTCGCTCCTCAAGCTCGGACTTGCCCTTTACGGCCTCATCCAGCCTTTGTTCCAGCTCCTTGAGCTTGCGGTTTTGACCTCTGTCCATCTTGCGCTGTCTCCGTTGTCTTCTGGCTTCTCCTACACGATCAAACAGGTTGACTCCGGTGGTAAAGGTACCGGCAATGGTGGATATGAGGGTTGCGAGGATGAAACTCTGCTTGAGCCTCCTGTCGTCGATTGCTTGTGCGGCCTCCATCTTGGGGATGGTGCTGTGGTAGTGCTGGTTATTGGAGTTGGGTTACGGTCTTGGAGGGACACATGAGTTCACACGATAGATGAGAACAGAACTCCCGTCAATCACGAGGGGGCTATGAGATATTTAAAGAGATGTCGTCGTGGGTAGGGGTTCAACTTGAGTGATGTTCCCCTCGAACCAAGTTGGGAACCGGGCAACTAAGCTTCCTTGGCTCTCTTGGGCGCTCTTGGAATACCCGACTCCCGAGAAGCATTTGAGACACGAAAGTCTAGAAGGATCTGCAGGTCGAGGCATGATGATGGAAGGTGAGGTTGTCGGCATGGGGTAAGCCTTAATAGAGAGTTAATTGGGGGTCCTATCCAATAGCGGCTATGAGCTGGCATGCAATCCTGCGTAATGGTGCCCTCGGGTTACTCAATGGAGCTCCCTCACGAGAGGTTTGATGAGGAAACGGGTGTTCACTTACAAATTGATGTGAGCCAAGGAAAAGATGCCGTTCCTGTAAGACGCAGCGGTGAGGTTGGGTGCTGTGACGTCAGACCCGCATCGGAGGCATTTCGGGCATTGATCGTCAGCAAGCTTCAACACCACCACGGCACTGACTCCAAACAGTGATCTCCCCCCCGCGTTCCATATTATCGTCAGTCGGGCCTGAACTGAACCTCACTTTCGGGTGTTGGAATGGATCTTTTTCATGCACCCTGCATTTTTGTACTGCCGAGGACCAATCGATTCCTCCGATTGTGTGCATAAAGGGTCCCTTCTCGCGCTGTCACTTGATGCCCTACAAAACACCGCCCTTTTTCTGAACCCTTTGCTCCAGGACTGTGGAAGCACCGCATCATCCGAGATAGTACCTACATTTCCTGTCGTCCTGTGGTGATCACTGGCGTCTGTCATTCGCGGGCATCGGCATTGGATGACATCCTTCAGTACCGGATCTTGTGGACGGTGTTTCTCGGGGTGGTAAGCCTTGTTAATGAGCTCGGTTCCGGCCGTGATACTGGCAATAAGACATCTTCACGATGGCCTCACCCGGGGCCGAACAGACATCGTATGATCTTCTAAGGCTCGTTAGTTTATTTTAATGACATCGGGAGCACGCAGTTATGGCATAGAGGGAACAACGACTCCTAAACACCCTCCCGCCACCCACGATATCTCTATCCCGCACTAACACTTACAACCCCGCGCTCCCACATTCCTATCACCGAACGTCACGGCCGAGCTCCAGCTCCACTGTAATGTTGAGTCCCCTCTCTCCTCTCTTGGTACTTCTTAACGCTATTGAGGCAGCATCGTCATTGTCAGCCTGTACCAATCTTGGTGTAGCACAAGCAATACTCCAACACTGGTTTATTTATTAGCTTTGGACATCGGGTCAACATTATCAGGCCTTTCCATTCCTTACTAGATACTGTTGCGTCTCGTTCCAGAGTCAAGGCATGGCCAAACCTTGACAAATTCTCTATTGTATCCGCCCTTGGAGAGTTTGGGATAAGTAGAGGTACGAATAGATAATTTCAGCGTGCCAAGAAAACAGCTGACAAACAAACCAGTATTGGATTGTAGCATGTGACGGATATAGAACTCATACATCAAGGACCAGCCCATTACCTCTAGGGTGCCGTGATGGAGTTGTTGTTTGCTTATGATCAAATGGAATATTGGATGAGACGGTCTCGGGCGGGTATGTGCGTATTTCTGGAGGGGAATCGCAGGTTTGCCGTCTCTTAGATTTCAAAGGCGGACCAACTCTATCCGGTCTTTAGTCTGGAGAAGCAGCAAACATATTCGCCTTCAAGGGGTTGATACTTTGAACGAGCAAGACCTCCATGTGATAAGAATTTGTCACCGACCTGAATTCACTGTCTCGTAGACGGATCGCTGAGATGCGTGAAGAGGGCTTCCATGTGAATGTGCCTTCATCCAAACACCTCCAAACGTAGCATCTCCGACATCGCCGAGCATCACCGAGCTGGATTGCACGCCGTCTGAACAACCTCAAAGACATTCACGAGTAACCACCACACACAACCGTTCTCGGTCGGTTCACCACCCTCGAGAGGTTTACCTATTTATATCTCCCATTTCGCGCTCAGATACGAGCTTCCCACTTACCTCCTTACCTATATCGGCACCAAACCAGAACCCGTCAAACCATCACCATCGCCAACACCACCAAGATGTCCACCGGCAACTTCAAATTCGAAAAGAAGGACGGCTCCTGGGTCCAGAACGACGTCTGGACCGCCGTCGATGGGTACACCATGTCCCACCTCCATCCCTTCACCAAACCCAACGCCTCGGCCCTCCAACACGCCCTCGACTCCTCCAAAGCCGCCGGCCTGCCCGACATCTCCGCCTCGCCCGCCCAAAGCAAGTTCATGGCTCTCCAGTGCCGCGTCCTAGGCGTCACTCACGCCCTCGAAGTCGGCACACTGGGTGGCTACTCAGCCATCTGGCTCGCGAGCGAGAACCCGCAGATGAAGGTGACCACCATCGAGTACGACGCCAAGCACGTCGAGGTGGCGCGCAAGAACATTGCGTATGCGGGACTGGAGGACAGGATCGAGATTCTTCAAGGTTCGGCGCTGGAAGTTTTGGGGCAGTTGAAGAAGGAGATTGACGAGGGAAAGAGGCCCAAGTTCGGTTTCTTCTTTATCGATGCCGATAAGCCGAATAACCTCAACTATTTCAATGCGGCGGTGGAAATGGCGTTGCCCAAGGCCATGATTTGCGTGGATAATGTGGTGAGAGGAGGTAGGATTGTGGATGAGAATGCGACGGACCCCAAGGATACGGCGGGAAGAGTGTTGGTGGAGGGAGTGGCCAAGGATGAGAGGGTTGAGAGTGTGGTGATGCAGACGGTGGGTGAGAAGAGTTATGATGGTTGTCTTTGGGCTATCTTGAAGGAGCAGGCTTGAAGACCTAGAGAGGGGAGGGTGAGTTGAGAGACGATAGGGCCCAGATCTTATGAGATATGGAGGACAGTGGTCGGGGACTTGAGGGAAGGTGACCGGTCTATCATGGATCAGACACTCACTTAGTGCGATGGAATAGGAAAGGGATCATCAAATGGCATGGAAGAACTCAATGTGCTCCAAGGCTGAAGTGATCGCAGGTGTAATATCGTGAGATGTTCAGATGTTGGAAATATGCAGCACAGCAACC